TTAATTTCATTCCTCGAGTATTTCTTGCTTTCAAAACACAAATATGAACACTGCCACATATCTTTCTCATTGAAATGCCCAGGATTTTAGAAAAGTAATGGTTGGAGAAACATCCTTAATTCTTGCAGTAGGTGCACCGCATAGAAAAGATGCGCTTGGCGGAACTGAACAAGCTCTTGAATATTTAAAAAGAAATTTGCCTATTTTTAAAAAAGTAAACATGCTTTCATTTAATTATTGTATATGTAACATTGTTTCGCTATTAGAGCCATTATTTTACAAAGTTTTGGTCAAAAAAGCTGTTCAGCTTTCATGAGGAATTTTCAATTTCAGTGTATTTTCTAATTTCGAATGGAAAATCCCAATATTCTCATCTTATTTAATCAAAAACAAGGTATTTTTTAGGAAACGTATTTGGATCAAACATATTCCTGGATGGCAAATAATTGCGAGTTGAATTATGGTCACTGAAAGTCAGAACACATGGACGCTTAATTTTTGTTCTTCAAGAACTTCATTTAACTCAAGATATGGTTTCCTTATTTGGAGTTGTTGATTTTCTTGAGTCATTACTATGACATATTGAAACAAGTGAAAACTCTCACTATTTAGTGTTATAATATCTTAATTTTTCCTCTTTATGATGGGTTATCTCCACAACTTCTAGAAAAATAAATGATCTATTGGATAAAGTGTACACATATTATGACGTGCGTAATGTTTATGCATATAGGCGGATAGTTTATGCTAATGCAAGGAGAAGGATATGCATTTTTTAAGGTCTGCACAGAAATAAATGATATGTTAGATAATGTGTATGCATATTAGGATGTCAATGCATATAATATGCATAATAAGTACATATTTACGTTTGATAACAATCAGAACTCACGCACTCGCATGTAGTGTAGATTGAATGTTTTCCCTCCTAAAAAGTGCTATCTCCAATTGAGAGCATCACATTTATCCCAAATATTGGGCAAAGTATGCCCTTCTGGTAAGGTAGGTCCATTATGATTAGATTTGTTGTAATTGGTAATTTTCTAAACTCATTAAATTCAAGCCTGCTTGGAACTCATTAAATTCAAGCCATGTTTTTACTTTTATATACTCACTACTCCTGTACAAGATATGATTAGATACATAGGCAGTATGTATCTAATCATATCTTGTACAGGAGTAGTGAGTATAT